CTCCTTGCTATAGTAAAGAGTCTGACATATTTCCATCCATACCTATAAGATGCAAGGTTTACCATCAAGACAGATTATGCTGTGTTATGCTGGTTAAGATCATTAAAGAACCCAGAGGGACAACTGGCACGTGAGATCGGAAAGATAGACCAGTATAATTATGATATTGAATACAGAGAAGGAAAATCTCATGGAAATGCTGATGGACTGAGCCGAAGACTCTGCAAAAATGACTGCAGACATTGCTGCAAAATAGATGTTGAACTAACCAGGTGCCATGAAGCTGAAGTCAAAGTGACTGAAGGAGTTGATGATGGTGAAGGAGAACCAAATATAGATATTAAAGCAGAGCAGGAGAAAGATCAAGATTTGAAGCCAATAACTGATTTTCTACAAGCAAGTGTTTTGCACCCTTCTTGGGAGAAGGTGTCTAGATTAAGCCCTGTAACAAAGAACTATTGGGCACAATGGGACGAGTTGAAGCTTGAAGATGGTATTCTTGTCTGCATATGGGAAAGTGACGACCGGGCAAACAGTTTTACCGAGAAAGTTTCGGGAAGTTGTGCTGCGTCAATCCCATGATAGTTTAACAGGAAGACATTGAGTCACCAAAGTCTCTTAATTTTACAGGACATTTCTTCTTTCGTACTGGTGTCCGTCTCATTGGCTTCTGCTTCACGTGGCATATGTCTTTGATCATTACTTCCCAACACATTCGTAATCTTATGCATATCTTGCATAATATATTCCACATTTTTAAAAATATTTATTAAATTTTTGTTAATTTTTTCTTTTCAGCCATAAATAAACAATGTGCCAACTCATGCGGATTAGTACATACACAACAGTGAACAAACACAACAAATACATGTAAAAATATCTAGTGAACATACACAAGTAATATATGTAAAGTTATCTCGTGAAGATACACAACTAATATATGTAAAATTATATAGTGAAGATATGCAAATAATACATGCAAAAGTATTTTGATGAACATAAACAGCTAATACATGTACAATTAGTTAGATGAACATACACAACTAATACACGTAAATTTATCTAGTGAACATATGCAACTAATACACGAGAAAGTATCTAATGAACATATGCAACTAATACATTTAAAGTTATACAGTGAACATACCAAAATTACCTAGTGCACATATGAAACTAAGACGTAAAATTATCTAGTGAACATACGCAACTAACTAAAGGGTTTCGAAACCCGTTGTAGGCACACCACAGATAACCCACTGTGCAGCAGTGTGCTTAAGAACAACAAACCAATCTTCATGGTGTGTTTTCTTTAACCACAGTACAGATTTAAATTAATTCAACTTCTATCTATTAAACCAATATACATACCGAGCATGAGTCAGTCTCGTCTCCTCCAGCACAAATCATTGATGAATCTATCTCCACATCGGTAGTTATCCATTTATTTTTACATTTCTGTTGGTCCCAGATACGAATATCTGCTTCCTGCTGTTCTTTACTGATCTCACCAACTGAAGTCATGAAAAATCGTATGAACGCAAAAAATAAATTATAATTGTGCTGATATTCCTCTTCGAATGGGTAGAATTTTAGTCACTTACTGAAATTACCTTTCGTATCTACGACACAACTGAAATCTAGCTTAGTAACATACTTAGTAAACGATCGATACCCGACACATTAGAGTACATAATAGCTCACCAACTATCTGACTAATGAACTAAGTCATTCACTATACATGGTGTTTCATACAATACTCACGAACATTCGTGACATCGCGTGAGGCCTACACTTTCAAGAAATTCGTAGTTGTAATAACAAAAAATGTCCTCTAGCAACCAAAACATCTAAATTATTGTTTGGGGTATTTTAACTCACCATTTAATAACTGAAATTGATTTATGTAAGTGTAAAAAATAGCGCCAAATTCATTATTATAAATTGGTCCAACTGTTTGATGTTGATATTATATATTTTATTTCTTTTCCAAAGATCAAATTGAAAATATTGTTATGACAGTGGAAGTCACGTGACGCTGGTAACACGTGATGAGTGTCCAGAAGATTTGCGAAGAGGCTAGTACGTGCTATGCGCGCGCTTTAATTGTATATAAGCGCGCCAGATAAAGGAGACATTCATTCGGAATGGAATTCTAGACAGAGAGATATAGAGACAGATAATCGAGTCAAAGCCGTAAGTAAAGTGCGTGAATTATAGCGTGTGCTGAAGTTAAAGTGACTGTGGAAATTAAGTGTACTGCAAAGTTGAATTGAGAAAGAATAAACTAGTTTTCTTTAAGAAAGGACTTGTATCGCTGAAGTTTCTCGGAAAGAATTTCTACAGAAAATTAACAAACAAACAGAGACGTAACAAACTGATGTCAGAGAGTGGGGCGGAAAAAAAAGATGGAAACGAGAGGTGGCAAATCAAACTACAGCTTAGCAGATTTGATGGCAGCAATACAAGAACAGCAAAGGAAACAAGAAGAACGAGAAAAGAAATAGGAAGAACGAGAAAAAAAACAAAAAGAGAGATTACAGACAGTTGTTGGAGGAAAAGAAAGAAACAAGAAGAGAGATTACAGCAATTGTTGGAGGAAAAAGAAAAGAAACAAGAGAGTTTACAGCAATTGTTGGAGGAAAAAGAAAAGAAACAAGAAGAACGAGAAAAGAAACAAGAAGAGAGATTACAGCAGTTGTTGGAGGAAAAAGAAAAGAAACAAGAAGAACGAGAAAAGAAACAAGAAGAGAGATTACAGCAGTTGTTGGAGGAAAAAGAAAAGAAACAAGAAGAACGAGAAAAGAAACAAGAAGAGAGATTACA